AAGCCCTCAGCTTTTACTCATTCGTGAGGGATCGTTGATCGGCTTCATAACCACTAGATCTCATATTGTCTTTCAATTTCCATCACGAATTTAAGTGTACTTAATTACTGTATTTTCCTTATTATAGACTACGTCTTATGCCCTTGGGTATTATTTGTTTTGTTTACTCGTAACACTTGAGAAGATATATCAATATTTATGAGAGTCAAGTAATCAATATGACGTGATCTAAGATGAGCAGCATTTGTTATAGATCCCTTGTCGGTGACGTGAAAGCAGCTCAATTTTCCTCCAAATTGAATAGCATTCCGACGTGCTGCAAGGGGTCTATTACGTCTATTCCATTTTCATTCATTTCCATTTCCACTTCAATCTTTTTAGGCACACGAACAAGATGTCAACAGCATCAAATGGAATCCCAAAGATGGCAACATTTTGGCTTCTTGTTCAGATGACGGTACTGTTAAGATATGGAAATATGTCAGTGATGATCAATAATTTTATATCCATTTGTATAACCAACCAAGTGAATGACATTGAATTTCTCTATACAATGAACCCTACTGGGGCGGGTCCAGGACGTTGTTAGGGGGTGTCCCAAATGAAGAAATGTATATAGAGTTATTATGCATTGCTTCAAAAAAGCGTAAGAGTAATTACGGTGTTAGAGGGGTGTCCGGTCACCCCAGGACACTCCCTGGATCCGCTCCCTGCTACTTAATGTATACTACCAGGTCTCAAGAATTCTTAACTTTGGCGTAATGCTACCACATTAAGACCACATTCTCAAACCAACAGCAGGTTATCTTGAGCTGTTGAGACTCGCTATAGACCCCTTGCAGTACGTCGGAATGCAGCTCAATTTGCAAGACATAACAAGAGGTTTCCAATTCTCAGGAGATTRAAATTCTTTTATTTTTTCCTCCTTTGACGTTACATGCAAGARGTATATGTAGGAATTACCAAAGAAAAGCACTTCCCTGAAATGAGAATTCTTCTTCTTTTGCTAATCTATTTATCTGCCAGAGTTCTTGAACCTGTTTGAAAAACCTTGGCTGCTTGTATTCACGAGATATAGAATAACGGGTCAAGAACAGAGTAGCATGGTTGACTTAGCGACAAAAGGACTAAAACAGAGTTTGTTTGATGTGAGGAAATGGGATTAGGGTAGGATCGGATAGATTATTTCATTGTTTACTAGGTTTTTATTAATTACAAATACAATAATAGAATTATAA